TCTTCTTATTTAAATGATGACGACAAAAATGATCGATATCTGGAGATGCTGGGATCCATTTTATTAATTTGGTGTCTTTAAACCCCACTTTTTTTTAGCAAAAGGAATAATATAAAATTTTGCAGAATTTTAAAGACTACTGTATCTCATGAATATACCCTTCAGTATAAAGCTTCTTCGTCCTGAACTGTATCGCTATAAAAACGTCTTGTCTAAAAACTTAACCATAATTCCTTGCTTTAATATCATTTTCCTATTTGAAAGAACCTAAAGTTTACAAACAACAATCCTTGTACTCTATCCTATTTTAAGTCGTGTTTGTTGACTATTTCCATGAAGGCACCAATTTCTAATAGAACCAATATATCAACTAATATAGCTCTACATTCATCTTTCAAAATTATCTTTAAGAAATCAGTTTCCATGCAGTTTTTCGCCCAACTTACACGTTTCTATTTGTGATGCTCACTTAAAGGTGGTAATCTGGTCGCTTTTTCTTTTTTCTTTTTTTACCGGGATCTCGAGATAGACGGTTACGTTAAGGGGCTAGTTTATATGGATAGAAGGGGAAGATAACGGTTGACTCTAGACTTGAACAGGTTAAGATTGCAATGATCGGGGAAACATCCTCTTGGAAGTCTGTTCGATAGGGCAGTGGTTCGCGGGAAGCGCTTGTGTCGAACTTACTTCTTGCCTATACGATACAGAGGGAAAGTAGGTGGTTTGCTACTGAGTGACCTGACGGGCCCTAGCCGTGAAGATTAGACCTGGAGGAATCAAGGAATGTAGTTCGTCCGAGTACTTTCTGTGGAAACAGCAGTGAGAGTCTCGCCATATCCCGCCCGTGAGAGATGTTGGAAGGTGGAAAATAATTCTTTTCCAACACAGACACGGAGACGCTTTTAAACTCTAGAAAGACAGGAAAGTGAGATCTGGGCAGCTCAGGCCTAAATATGGCAACAGTACTCCATTTTCGGCCTGATATAACCTCTTGTAAAGGTAGAGGCTAGCATAAGGAATCGGTTACTTAGTGGAGGGGTGCAGGGAGCCGATCTTTTTACTTGCATTTTTAGCGTTGTATCGTATATAGGAATTCCACCTGAGGTCAGGTGTGAGTTTGAGGCCTAGTATCCTCTCAAGGCACGGTACTGCACTGAGCGGTCATCTGTTCATCGTGATTGTCAATTTTCTTAATATTCTTCAACTTTTCAGTTTACATTCGCAAACATTTTGTTTTGTTTTGTTTTTTTTTCAATTTTTTGTTGAAGTTTAATACATTTTTGCTTGTTTATAAAATTTTCAATTTTTCCAAAATCATTTTCGTGACATTCTTAAAGCCATTTTTTAAAATATTTATTCGAGTAATGGATAGCAATTCTGAATGACGAATCAGAGCCGAGTTCGAATTCCAGTTGAATCCATTATATTCACTTACGGGCTAATACCCTTGGGAAAGGTATGAATCCTCTTCTTCTCCCCCCGACCAGCTATGGGTAAGTAACAGGGCGGACCAGGTTCTATAGCCTTGGATGGCAACTGGGTTACCGTAGAAAGAAATGGCAACCTACTGCGGGGAAAATGCCTCGTCAGTCATGTATCGAAAGATACATGATCGCCTAAGCGTGTATCACGCATGTCACATAACTGACTTATCATGGTGTAGTAATGGATTGCGGCTCGGATTGAGGAATCGGAGAGCCGAGTTCGAATTTCAGTCGAATCCATTACATTCACTTACGTGCTAATACCCTTGCAGAAAGAAATGGCAACCTACTGCTGGAAAAAAAATCTGCCTCGTCAGTCATTTATCGAAAGATACATGATCGCCCAAGCGTGTATCCCGCATGGCACATAACTGACTGACTTTCCAGTCGAATCCATTACATTCACTTACGTGCTAAAACTCTTTGCAAAGGTATGAATCCTCTTCTCCCCTCAGCTATGGGTAAATAGCAGGACAGACCGGGTTCTAGAGCCGTGTATGGCAACTGGTCTACTGTAGAAAGAAATGGCAACATTCTGCGGGGGAAAGAACTGCCTCGTCAGTCATGTATCGAAAGATACATGATCGCCTAAGCGCGTATCACGCATGGCACATGGCTGAACTGATCTGCGTTAAACTTTTTCGTCTTTTCGCATCATTCAAAGATTTTACAAGAGATTGTTTTACTTCTGAGGTTACATCGTTCTTACAACTCATAGGAATTTTTATGGATATGAAACTGAAAAATATGTAATAACAACGATGTTCCCCAAAATATTTATTATGTATTCATTTACGATAAGATTAGCAACACTCGATTTGCAAAATAAAGTCTCTTGAGGCCAAATTAGATATCGTAAATATTTCTCGTGAAGCAATTATTTTTAGCTGAAATTCATATTGAATACTTGTCGTAATAATGTAGCCTTAAAATTGTACCAGTTTTTTTGTTGATTAATAGCAATTTTATCGAGCAAAATTAAAATGCATTAAAAATCTAGCATAGTATGTGTTTATATATATATATATATATTATATATATATATATATGTGTGCGTGTGTATGTATATATATGTGTGTATATATATATGTGTGTCTGTGTGTATAAATATATGTGTGTATACATATGTGTATGTATGTATAGTTATATATGTGTATGTGTGTGTATATGCATGTGTGTATATATATGTGTGTGTATGTCTGTGTATATATATTTGTTAATGGCGAATTCTCTTCGCTAACAGAGTTAATATAAGCATTAACTTACTAACGATCCATTGAATGACGTGATCCTATGTATAAAATTGTTGTCAAATGGATCTGGTGTATCTGACAATAATTTTATTTACGAGAATTCGCCATTAACATTACATTAATATTGCTAATTTATTCATTGTAGATTACCTCTTTATAATATAAAATATATGCTACCTAATATAATACGATTGTATATATATATACATATATATATATATATATATATATATATATATATATATATATATATATATATATATATATATACATATATATACACATATATATACACGCACATATATATATATATATATATATATATATATATATAGAGAGAGAGAGAGAGAATGATAGTGAAATAAATAGATAATGAACAGATTTAGATAGATATGAACAGACTGTGATAGATAGATAGATAGATAGATAGATAGATAGATAGATAGATATTAACAGAATGAGATAGATATAAACGGAATGAGATAGATAGATAGATAGATAGATAGATAGATAGATAGATAGATAGATAGATAGATAAACAGATAGATATGAACAGACTCTGTGATAGATAGATAGATAGATAGATAGATAGATAGATATTAACGGAATGAGATAGATAGATAGATAGATAGATAGATAGATAGATAGATAGATAGATATGGACAGACCAAGATATATAAATTTAATAAGAAACATTTCATAATGCCACTCTTTCTTAACAGTTTTATAAGATTCCATAACATATATTCGATTGTAATTTATACTACACACACACACACGCGCGCACACACACACACACACACACACACACACACACACACACACACACACACACACACACACAAAACATATATATATATGAAGAAATATACTCTTAAGGTGTGCTATATTTATGGGATAAAGTGCTCTATATCAGAAGTCAACACTCAAGCCACCCATATATATGTTTGTACATATATATATATATATAATGATACACACAAATATTTACATAGACAAGTGAAAATTGACTTAATTTATTCAATGTATATAGGAAATTTTAAAACAGAGATAAAATACATTTGTAAACATACATACATACATACATACACTCACACATAGATATATAAATGTTCATATATACATACTCACAAATATATATGTGTGTGCGTGTGTGTTTATGTGTGAATAAAGGCGAAAGGAAAACTATTCTTAATCGACACGTTTATGAGACGCTCATGAATAAACATAAACATTTTGAAAAGCTAACGACATTTTTACTTTTGTTTTTTGTTGCAAAAAAAAAATCCTCAGGTTTGCCTTGATAAAGTCCATCAGAGGACGAAACGCGTCGTTTAAAATAAGTTTTCTTTTTGACTTTATTCATATTTTCCATTTACAGATACAATTGTAGTTATAACTGATTTCTTCAGATAAAAGTGAATGTAATGATACATATAAATATACCCCAAAATTTACGTAATTTTAAATCGTATTGATTTTATAGAATTATTTATGAAGTACAATTTAATCGAACTCACTATTTTAAGCGTCTGAATCTGCGAATACAGCTGATTATCGGATGGTCCATGAATTCCCATGAATTTACGATCGTATGTAGGTATATATATGAATATTACTTTGAAAAATATAGTCATAGTAAAAAATAAAATTAATATATAAGTATGTATGTATATATACAAGTATATATACGTTAAATAGAAATAAAAAATATATATAAATGTATGTGTATATATGTCGAAATATTTATTTTTATATATATTATATATATATATAGCAACAAAAATAATAATATATATATATATATATATATATATATATATATATATATATATTAATATTGCACATTGAATTATGGTGTTTTAATAAATTAGTGCTCAATTATAAAATAACGGAGGTATAAAATTTTTCCTCGCCGGTATATATATATAAATAACATATACGAATAATATATATATATATATATATATATATATATATATATACCCAAGTATATAATTAGTATATACGGAATTAATTCCAATAACCAACAATTACTTTTCTTAAAAGAGTGCTCAATACAAAGTAGGGCAGATATAATTATTATTTATAAAAAAATTGAGACACTGAGTGTGTTGAAACAAAATGGCTATTTTTAGTGACTTTATAACATACTTATGTTATAATTTTTTATAAATAATAATATATATATATATATATATATATATATATATATATATATATATATATGATAAAATTAGTCTTCTGATAAAATTAAAATTAAATGTTCATTTATCTTGTTCATAGTCGGTGTTTCACAAATATTTTGTGAAACACAATAATTGATACGCTCACACGCATATAAATATATATATGTATTGGTAGGATCAGGATTGATGTAGAAAATATCTATATCAATCCTGTCTTATTATAAATAAAGCATCATAGGCAGATAGATAGAAATAGATCCTAATATGTAGAGATCTATCTATCTATCTATCTATCTATCTATCTATCTATCTATCTCTATCTGTCTCTCTCTCTCTCTTTATCTATCTATCTATCTACCTATATATGTGTATGTGTTCGTATAACTGTAAATTTTATTTTTTCATACTAATTTCTCGCACACATAAAATTAAGATGATTCTAATTGTTTTGTTTTTTTTTTGTCATAATTTCTCTTCACAGAAAGGGTCGATAATTTTTTTGACATGATTTTGCCTTCGGCTTCCCGGTTTTTTCACAGTCCTTCAACTTTTGGCTAATCACCAGTATTTACTATGTTGATTTTAATGGCAATTCAAGCTGGCAGGCCCTTCCCACTTCAATGATTTGATAACACAATCACCCAAATGTATATTCCCACTTTAAATAATAATAATAATAAAGCTTCGTGTACAAAACAGTCTGCAAGATTTAATTCTGAAAACTGTAAATATACATGTTCATAAAAGCATGATTTATAGCAAACTGCAGAAATTTTCTCCTATTTTGAAAAGATTTAAATCACTTGGCTAATATGTGTGTGTCTGTGTGTTTGTATATATGCACACACATATATACTTGTATATATGTATATAAATATACATACATACATACATACATACACACACACACACACACATATATATATATATATATATATATATATATATATATATATATATATATATATGTATATATATATATATATATATATATCTGATAAAATCATTCCTCCGATAAAATTAAATGTTCGCTTATCTTGTATTTACGTGGTGTTTCACAAATATTCATTTTTGTGAAACACAATATTTAATACACACACACACACACACACACACACACACACACACACACACACACACACATATATATATATATATATATATATATATATATATATATATATAACGAGAGAGAGAGATTGTAGATAAGTCAGGATTGATGTAGAAATATGATTATGAATAAAGCATCATAGGTAGATAGATATGTACAGATTTATCCATGTCACTGTCTCCATCTCTTTCTCTCTCTATCTCTTTCTCTCTCTCTCTCTCTCTCTCTCTATCTATATATATATATATATATATATATATATATATATATATATATATATATATATGTGTGTGTGTGTATCCGAAAAAAAGCCAACGAAAAATTTCTTAATTATTTATTTTTATTTACTTTTTCAATACTACTAAAATTTTTACCGATGTCTGTTTCATATTTGTAAATATATCTTCGCCTCTTTAAGCATTATTTTCTTCAAACACTAATAATTTTCAAAGACTTCCTTGCTGTATGTCATGCTTTCTGTTTGTTAAGGTTTGCAAAATGCTCAGTGTTAGATGAAAGTGTTTAGACACGGGAAGATATATTTACAAATACGAACCGGAAATAAGAAAAATTCTCAGAAAAAATGAAAAAATAAAACAAACATATCAATAATGATCTTTTGTTATACAAACACACACACACACATACACAGACACACACACACTTATATATATATATATATATATATATATATATATATATATATATATGATGCATTGAAAATAATATTGATTAAATCCAACAAAATGATTAAATACGAAAAAATAGGAAAACATTTATGAATTTAAAATGTTTCGTTTTACGTTTATCATCATTGCTCTCCGACCCGCCCCAAAAGGTATTCATGAAGCCAAATTAAATGCGAAATGTGTTAAATTTATAAATGTTTTCCTTTTATTAATTAATCATCTTACACACACACACACACATATATATATATATATATATATATATATATATATATATATATATATATATATATATATATATATATATATATATACTTAACACTGTAAATATTTATTTATATTTGTACATGCATATATATATACATATGTATACATAAACACATAAAATATACATAAACACATAAAATATACATATATATAATTTGTAGGTCTGGTGAATTGGATCGTATTTACGATTCCAATGGAATGACCATGGAATATTAGTGTTTAAGCCTTTTTATTATATATATATATATATATATATATATATATATATATATATATATATATATATATATATATATATATGTGTGTGTGTGTGTGTGTGTGTGTGTGTGTGTGTGTGTGTGTGTGTGTGTGTATTGATATATGTGAGTATTGCATATTTTCGGCGATAACCTTCCTTATGTTTTCACTGAATGTGACCTAAATGAAAACATTTTTAATATTAATTTCTTTCCAATGATCTTACACAATTTTCCTTTTCAATATATACTATTATGGGCTGTAAACAAA